TTTTTTTTTTTTTTATTAACTTTAACAAGCTTTCACTGCTTAGTAGTTAAATTACTTCTTAATAGAGGCTAGTCATTTTAGTTTTAATCCTTTAAATTCACACTGGTATTAAAAGGAAATTTAAAGCATGGGCACAGATATTTCCCCGTACTTGTCTGAAGTGCCTGAGGTGATATACTTGCTAGACACCTCAACTCTAACCTACTTAACACAAGCCTCACATCTGCACTGCAGGTAGACACACCCTAATCTCCCAACTGCTGCCAGATCCAGCCTAACCTCCTCACAAGGCTTGTCGATCTGGATTTATAGTATGGTCATGACTGACTGTTAAATGCAGAGATAGCACAAAGCTGAAAACAAGACCACACTTAATAACTGGAGGCTACCTACTTCATTTATACAAAACGCAGCAGGAAGGTAGGAAAAACTACTTCCCTGCCTCATGCAGCAACCAATGAAGCCCAGAAGCATGGGGAATACCCACAGCATAGGCCTGACCAGTGCCAGTCCAACCTCTTAAAGACCTCCAGTGAGTCGACAACCTCCCCAGGCAGTCCCCCTCAGTTCTAAACTGTTTTGTAATTACAGAAAAATTAAGAGCAATATTGCTGTTGCAAAGAACTTCGTCACAACAGCTCAGAGTGTTTTTTGGTACTGGCTTCCTTTTTGAAACCTTTGGGTTTAACTTTGTGATTCCTGTAAATGTTTGCATACCTAATGCTAATATTGTGCAGCACCCTTAAAAAGGATCTCACAACTGCAGGACCTGAACCTCTTCAGCCTTCACAAGAGAAGGTTATGGGGGGAACCTGGTGACAGCCTATTAACTCACTAGGGGGGACCAGAAGGGTTTGGGAGAGACCTTGTTTCCCCTAGTGCCCCCTGGCATAACAAGGAATAACAGCCACAAGTTGTTGGAGAGGTTTAGATTAGACATCCATAAGAACTACTTCAGTCAGGGCAGCTAGGATCTGGAACCAATGTCCAAGGGAAGTGGTGCTGGCTCCTACCCTGGGGGTCTTTAAGGAGGAGGCTTGATGCCTACCTGACTGGACTCATTTGAGCCTAGTTTCTTCTCCTGCCCAGGCAGGGGGTCAGACTTGAAGATCTACAAGGTCCCTCCAACCTGACTTCTGTGACACCCTGACAGACAAGCACTAGTGTAGACAAAGTTATGCTCATCTAGACAAGAGGTAACCTAATTTTACAGGACAAGTATCTTAATCTGCAAGTGAGCAGTAAAGTATTTGGGGGAAGTACTGTGTTCCAATTAGGCAGATTTTGCAGCTTCACTTTAGTTAATTCAGGAAAATCTTTTGTTCTTGACATAAAGACCTTTAATTCAGAATCTTATTAAACTTATATGGGTCTGAAGTGCTCTACTTTGGCTTTTCCAGTATCACAGGTGACTTCCAGAAGTCTGAGAACAGTAAATGGGAATATTTATTAGTGCAAGTTGGTCAAGGTATTCTTCCAGCAAGTACATAATGGCAACCCATGGTTGATGCATAATAAACAAACCTGTGCTAAAATAAAATTTGTCCTGAAGTAACAATGTGTTACATATTGTCCTCATCCGATTCATCTTCCTCTTTCAATGATTCCTGTTTAGAAAACACAAATACACGTTACAGTTCTAGCCCTTGTTGAGAGGTCATCCCGCAAGTCATAGGAATTTGGATAAAGGATCTGGTTCTCTGTAGCAAGAGTTATTGCACTGATGCAAGGTATACTGCCCACAAGCAGGAAGCTCAGATTTGTGGCATTACACATGGAAGGAGGTAGAGAACAAGGTCTCATATGCACGCTGCTACAGGATGCTGTGCAAACACCTTAACTTTTGTATGGGTTAAGTGTCAAATCATTTGTGAAATACTGCTACTTGTGTGCATAACATTTAAATGCAGTTACTGCTTCCAAAACTAGCACAACTGGTGAGATCCTCTGTCTACTAGTTACCTCTCTTCCTGCTAGCTCTTGCTTTTAGAGGAGTTATTGTACTCGGCACAACTGACTACAAGACTTAAACATTGGTACAAGAACAAGTTCTAAATCTAATACACTGATTTTTCTCCTTACTTAGGCAAGGAGATATGCCAGCATTACCAGGCTCTTGAATGTGATCAACTGAAGATACAACTGGATTATGCTGTTTTGCTAATCTCGCTTCTAAACTGTTTCAGGTAATGTTTCTAGTTCCGTTAATCTAAGAATTCCAGGCTACCTTTGCACTTAGTTGCACCCACACTGGAAGAAGTGAACTTTGTTCAGTTCATTCTGTTCAGGTTTCCTTGTAAAGTGGAATTTTAAACTGAATAAATAAAGCTCTCTTGCTTACCTTGGCGTATTTCTCTGCTTCTTCCCTGATGTCTTTCGGCACAATTTCATGTTTTCCCTTGGTCACTATAAATGAAAGCATATTTAGAAATGGTTTTTTAGTACTTAACTGCTATACAGGTGAAATTTTGTAAGTCATTCATGGAATCATAGGAGAATAGGGTTAGAGAGGACCAACTTCACAAGAGCTTCTAGTCTAGCCCCCTGCTCAAGGCAGGAACATCCCCAACTAAATCATCTCAGTTAAGTGTCTGTCTAGAATGATTTACACAGGGATTTAATGCCCTTTAGGTTATTTGAGTCTTTAGATTTACCGCCACAAAACTTCCATCAGAACTACATTATTTCTATAAACAAGAATAAATTAAATTTACCTTCTCCAACCCAACTGAGTTCAAGTTCAAAAGCTTTATCCTTTACTTCATCATGAACTATGTAGATTCTAGAAAGGAGAGAGAAGCTTGCAATTAACTGACTACTTACAAATTTCCCTCTTAAAAGCTATTTGTTAATTTAATAATTAAACAGATTGGATATAGATATCCAACTTGTCCATTCATCCCTTCCCCCTACACATACAACATGGCTTTACAGTTTCTCATCTTACTGAAAACAATTTGTACAAAAAATAAAATCAAAATATCTGGTGTTTATACTACTGACTTAAAAAAAGAGCGTGGTGTTTTGGGTTAAGATACAACCAAGTTATCAGTCTCTGGTACAGGAGTAGAACTCAAAATCCCTGATCAAAATTCAGGTAGTTTAAAACAGTGATGGCCAACTGGTGGCATGTGTGTCATGGCAGCTTGTGTGACACTGCAAACAGGGCAGGAAGCAGAAAGCTGAGCAGCAGATTGGGCAGGGAAGAGACTGGCATGGCACTCATGAAGGGGCAGAGATAATTTGTGACATGCCTGCCAAAAGGGTTAGTTGCCACTGGTCTGGAACTTAAGCACTGGTAAATGGAGATGATGACACTGCACTTCTCCCTTTTTGAGCCTATCATATAATTCAACTAGCAGAGTAGTAAATATGCCTGTTGTAACTCCCTTTATACTGACTGACCGTGACTGTAGCTCAATTAAGATCGTTTGCCTGCAGTAAGCATACTGTGCACCAGTTACAACTTTCTGAACAGGCCACGTGTGTTCTAATTCTCCATATCATTGTAGGGTACAAGTTGTGTGTCAGGTTGCATGCGCACTTTTACAAAAACATGCAAAGGTAGCAGCCTGAGGGCAGAATGGCATTTCCTGCTCATTGCCAGGGGTATGTAGAAAATATAGAGCCTTAAGCTATTGGTCCACAAATTAAGTGAATATTCTGCTTGACAAAGAAAGCTGCATTCCTTATACTGACGTAGGTGGTTCAAAGTTAAGTTGACAACTAGCTGCTTCAGGAGCAGAACGAATACTTTGTGCCAGCGGTGCTCAACCTTTTGCCAGCACGCCATCTGCCTGCAGACTGAATCCTGCTGGTGGGCTGGTCTGGTCACACACAAGTGGGGCAGTTTAGCCCCAATCCAACTGCATGTGGGGAGGAGGTGGTGGTGGAGGTACAGGGCATGGCTCAGACATCCTCTGGTTGTGCAGGGGACAGGGTGTAGCCCAGTTGCACAGGGCTTGAGAATCTTGCAGCAGGAGAGGAGTGGCAGTATGAATTGCCACTACTCCCCCACTATCAAATTTCCTGACTCACAGGGAGCCCTGCAGGCTGGATTTGGCCTATAGGCGAGGGACTGAGCACTCCTGCTTTATGCCATCCCTGTGCTCTGATCTTTATCAGGGTCATGAAAGAGTTCTAAAAGCATAGTTGTTCTCTACCTCTTTAGCCTCAAGCCTGCCTTCCAGCCCCTGTTCCTTTACAAAGTGCCAGCTCTTGCTTTTACTCGTTTCTTGATCACAGAAGAACAACAATTTTATCGCAAAGAACTCAAGAAACCTACAACAGATCAGAATGGTTTTGACACTATGGATTCCTATTTGAAATTTCTGGGTTTATCTTGCCAACCAGATGTAGGTGTCTGTACACCTAACAGTGCTAACACTGCATGGCACCCCAGGGTGCTGTGCACTCTGAGAATTACTGCAGTTTGTAGTGCATTCACTTATACATTGTACTGGTGTACCTAACCTACCATATCTCAGGGATGGATTCATTTCATACATGCATTAATGCCAAGGGACTCTATACTGGCAGATGCTTTTTCAGTCCTACAGTAGTGAGTGTCCCACAGTGGGAGAGTAATGCAATATTAACAGATGAAGGACAGGATTTTTAGTTTTACTTTCCTAAAAATTACTTTCAGTTAGAAGCTGATGCCTGCAGATCCAACAGCAACCACAGACATGCTTTCTGATGGTACGTGCATCATTATGGCAGTTACTAAGGAGGCATGCTAGCATGTTTTTATGACTGCTTAAGCTGTGGTTAAAATGTAAAGGACAACTTGCAACTAGGTACTGTTCCAAGAGAAAGTGGGCAGAGATTAGATGTCTTTGAAAATTACTAGATAGTAAGGCAGTGCGAAAGGCTGTGTTTTGATTCAGTTTTGGATTTGACCATTTCGGAGGACTGTGATTCGTTTTGATCTTTTGGCCGAATCTGTTCTGAACAGGCTGCAAGTGAAGTTTCGCACAGCCCCAATGAGGAGCAGGATGGCGCCGTGGGTGGATCTCTGCTCCCAACGGAGCCAGGTTGCATGGTAGAGACCAGCACTGCCCTGCTGCGCAACCTGGCTCTGCAGGGAGCAGTAATCCAGGGCTGGGGCCAGCAGCAGCACTGCAGTCTTCCCAGCACAAGCTGTGCTAAGCAATTGCTGCTGGACCCAGGCCAGCAGTGGCAGCCTGCTGAAACCCCGCACGCAGATTGGAGCCCCCCGCCCCCCTGGGAATTGCTGGGGAAATGATCGGAGAGCTGGGGAATCAAACCAGGAGCTACATGTCAATATCAGAGCAGTCCTTCCCTGCCCCCCCCCACTTCTCCTCCCTCTTAGTTTTTGTTTCCCTGCAAGCCCGGCTCTGAAACATTTTCTGAAATGTTTCAGAGCCTTCTGTTTCGATTCAGACTTGGCGTTTTGTGCACTGAAACGGCCTGAAACACCTCCTGAAACTTTGCACAGCCTTACTAGATACACCTGAATGACTTAAATAATGGCAAGACTGGTGTTTAGTGAAGATGTGAACAGGCACAGAATTTAAAGTACTTTAACGCCTCCTACTAAGCATGAACCTCCATTAGTATTGTTTCAGGCACCTACATTCAGACAAGAACTCATTAAATAGACTGAAAATAAAGTAACTTTACTTCCCCTACAGTAATATCTGATTTGGGTCAAGTCTGAAAGGACGGTTGTAGTTCTGTCCTCTTAAAAGCTGACCAGACTGCACATTTCATACCCTGGGACATGTTGCTATATTCTGCACCCCCAGTTTATATTCACGCTTGTCATTATCTTGTCTGACATATGACAGCCGAGTAGTAAGCTCAAAATCAAGAGAGACATGTGAGCACTGTCAAGAACATGGATAAGGAAACAAAAGTTAACAGCACACACTGGATTTCTTCGATCTTTCAGTCTTGGATACAAAGCATCACCTGCAAGCAAACTGTCTAAAGTTCTAAAAATTTTAGGAACCAATTTTAGTTATTTAGACAATGCATCAACTACACCCCTCATTCATCTTTGAATGAGAAGTGGGTTTTTTTTGTTATTGTGACCATGCACTGATACTCCTCTTTCTTAGTGGATTAAGGGCCCCTGAGGAACAGTTCCTCTGCTTTATCCCTTGACAAGGCAAGGAAGTGCTCAACTCTGGTGTTCATTTTGTATCCCAAAGACTGCATTTTTTTTGTGGTTCGGTTGCTTAAATTAAAAAAAAAAAAAGATGACATACTTGTAATATCTGAAGTGACTGATGGAAAGGGTAAAAATGTGTACTCAGTTTGTCTTCTGCATATTTTCAAGACATCAAGTATGCTTTTCATATAACCAAAACTAGCAGGAGCATGGAGCATAGATCTAGGCACAGGACTAATATCTGAAACTAAGCTTTGGGTGACTGAATTTTTTTACACAGTGTTATTTTCAATGGGGTATGTGCAGAGGAGGGGAAAAGGATTGGGAAAACTCACATTTTTGCAACTTCCTTAACAACATCACGGCAGGTCATTTCTTTCATCTGCTGATGAAGAAAGTACATGTCAGTACTATTTTCCAAAGAGAGTAAGCTAGCTGTTAAAGAGACGAGGACACCCAGTATCAGCCAGGTGGGTGCACAGTAGGACTGTTTGCTCCCCACTACTGACAAAGGGTGAAATCCAGAGAGAAACGGAAGGCATACACTTGAATGAAAGTGAACTTTTTCAGAACACTGTTTGCCAGTCCAAGCCCTTTCCCACGTCAGTACGTAGTTAAGTGAGTGCCTCATAGGAAGTCTGCACCCACATTTCAGTTCTTTCAACTGGAGCTAAACAGAAATGCATCCACATCTTAAAGCTTTAGGAACTTGTCAAAAAAACTTGAGGTATAATCAAATGACAGTCAAAGATTGATCTCTACTGTAACCATCATACTCAAGGATTTTCTGTTGGGATTTGTTTGCAGTCATTCCAGTTTAAAGCTAACCTGCAGGCAATAACCCATCCAGTTGCTGACTTTACACAATTCAAATTCGGTATTAATTTTTTTTTCTTGAACTTAATTATACCTCAGTCTTTAGGGGCACCCATCCAGGGCCAAATTAAAGTTAAATGCATGTGACCAATTTTTTTTTTTTTTAAATGCATCAGATTCCTTATCAGCCACTTCCTCTTGGGCAAATGGAGAAGCCGCTTACTCTGCTATATTGAGGCAACGCAGGGATGAGATAACAGTTCCGTTTCCCAGCAATTCATAAGGGATGCGGGCAAAGTACTAAACAGCATGGTGCTCAGTCTACATTTCCACATCATTTGTTGCAAGCTTAAAAACACGGCCAAATGTAATTTAGTTTCTCCATAATACTT